TGTTACGCAAAGCTTCAACATTCTTGCTTTACATTACTTAAAATTTACAACATCAACAAATCGAACATGAGTTGAACATATGTAGTAATGGAACAAAAACACCCCCCCCCCCCCAAAAAAAAAGTTCCAACATGGGTATTTTCATAACCTCAAGGTTAATATCTACTTTGTTTTATGAACAATCTTATTTTAAGCAACCTCTTTTGGGTCGCTTAAACATTGCAATCCACCTAAATGCACTTGATTAATCAAAAAACGTTAGTACTACAATTCACATATTAATTTGTATACGTAATACATTATTACTTTTTTCTTTACAGTTTGTAATGTAGCCAGTTACTAGAAGCTACGTACCTTTACTAGAAGCTACACCTTTACAATTTCTAGTAGCCAGGTGGCTTTGCTCACATTTTAAGTCAGTGACTAGTAGCCATTTACTAGTATCTAACTTTACTCAAATGTTGTAGCCAGTTACTAGTAGCAAGCTTTACTCACATTAAATGATAACTTCAAACGAGATTGTCGATATCCTTGTTTCATCAAATGGTTTGTCAATAGCTTTCCTCGCTTTAGAAATTGTTCATACAGAGCGCATGCTTTTGCATGTCGAATCAACTGGAAAACAAAACCCCCAAATGCAGGCGATAAGGGTATATTGCTACAAAAGTAAGGAAAATTGACGATAGAGAAATTGAAGTCATCACGTTTATCATACAGCTTTGTTGGTAGATTACAATTAAAGTATTTTTCTAGTAAAATATCCACATATGCAACAGATGTGTCATACTCTGTGGTATATTTTATTTCAAGCTCACTGGGATATATCGTGTTAACATATGGATGGAAATAACTATTGTTATTTGATAATACGTCGTCGATATATGTAAATGTCGAGTTGAAGGCCATAGCAAGAGTTTTTTTTCTCATTCATACGATTTTGAATAAATTCTGATTTATACAATAATAGATCTGCTTATAACAGTGCGCAATTGGTACCCATGGGAATTCCAAAATATTGTTGGAAGACTTGGTCTCCAAAAACCACATAGATATTGTCAATCAGAAACTCAAGCATCTTTTTAATATCAACTTCAGAATACTTGTGTGTACAATTAGAATGTTTTTTTAACAAAATAATTTTGCAAATGACCAAAGACAAGGTAAGTAAATTTACGAGTTCCATTTTTGTTGAAAAAGCAGCTGTCAGTGATGTCAAAAAGCCTGGACTTTAAACACCTTGATATGACCATTTGATTGATATAGATTAAAATGTACAATAATTAGAGTGTAATATTCACAGATTGAAGTGCACAATTTAAAGGTAAACTGTAAAATTTACAGATTAAAGTATAAATTTTACATATTAATGTGTTGAAATAAAAAGATAAGAATTGTCAAAATGGCACTAATACGCGTCCGTGTTCTACAAACTAAGTTTTTCACATTGCAGTTATGATAAATCACAGAATTAAGCAAAATTGCATGCTCAGCTCCGATTACTTTCACGTGTTTTATTATTTTTTAGATCTTCAGTTATTCGAGGGAATGTGTTTTTCTAACAAGTTATTATATTAAAAATCGTCATTCTACGATTTTATAAAAAATCTTTACATTATCACGTCAGATGGATTTTAAAAAATGAATAAGTATATTCAAGAATATGTCCCAATCTTTGTCAGATTAAGCTTCTTTCATATTAATTTTCATATTCACTACTATCAGAATGATTTGGACCACGCCTTTATTTCTGAGAAACTACGCGTAAAACTAATTGGTGACGTCGTCACAGTCAGGCACAGCGAGATCAAGTTTGCTTTCATTCTATATTCACTTAGCGTTATCAGGGCAAGCGTATACCTTTTCATTATTAATTCTAGTTCGCATCGGAAACTTAGTGTGTATGAAAAAGAACATTAGCATTTGTTCAGGGTCACTTTATATGGACGTCCTTATCTACGCTGAAATGTCCAAAGTTTATCTTTCACTTTGGAGACTCGATCAATTTGAGAAATATTTCAATACTGGGAGTATAAGATTGTACTTAATTGTACTTTGAAGGGTTTGACGACAAAGCTATCTTGTCAAATTTAAGGCTTAGTTCAGCACTGTCCAGGTATGACAGTCAAAGAAAATATATTTTCACAAGATCATCATGTCGCCGTTTAGTAATGTGCGTTTTCCGTCCTGCTTCGAATCTCATTTTTAACAATCTTCTTCCCTTACACATTCCAGCATTTTATTACTCTCCTATTTAAAACGACAGAGAATTCAAATTATACCGAAACGCAAAAGAAACGCAACAAGCGTTAACTACAAATACCTGAAGTTTTTTTTTTTAATGAAATTCACAATTTAGCACAAATTTTAACAGTAACATAAAACTTGATTTAAAAACATCTGAAATTTGAATGAGACATTGATTTTTATCTTTTTATCGTAGAAAGAAACAAATATCCGTTACCATCCCCTCATCCTCACCCATCCCGCCATTTATTGAAGCGTGCCATGCACAACAATTGCAGCTCGGATTTTACGATGTATTAAGTGCATCAGTCTCTTGGTCTGAACGAAAGAAATATTCTTCAGCCTTTTCGAAATGCCTGTTTTTCAAATGCTGAGGTCGAATTTCCTCGAACCTTGCACAGTCTAGCAACCTTCAGACTTCCGGTCCACGGACTGTAACTCAAGCTAATGAAACGTGTGAACATAATGAGTCGTTATAAAGTGCATCTTTGCATTTGCAACTCTCGTTCGTCTCATTTTGAGAATTTCCAGCTGAAGCAATGGAAATGCGTGCTTAAAGTCATTTTCAGAAAGCCTTGGCATCACATGCGGGAAAAAAGAACTTTTTTTTGAATATTGCTGCAATACTTATGATGAACAGAGACAAACTCTTGTAACTCCAAATTATAGCCAATTTTTGGCTTAACAGTATTTTTTTTTATTTCCGTTAAGTCGGGATCGAACTTTGGTCCGGTAACGGGATGAACGTCATTCAACTGTTAAATTAACAACTACTCAAAAATGAAGATCCCTTACTTTTTAAGGACGACGGACCTAATTCGAAATTTAGCGCCACTGCGCAGAAAACCGCGCATATGCCTTGAATCAAATTGACTTAATAATGTATTGCAAAAGATTAAAAAATATACATTTTTAATTATTTTAAAGATATTCAAACGTTTCCTCTCAATTCAAAAATATTGTAAATATTTCGATTTATATACATTTGTTAATTTTATAAATAAATGATTTATTTGGCCAAGGTATTTTCATTGAAAATTTCCCCCAAAATGTGCCCTACACATGAGTTTGACGTGTCCCCTTGAAAATCTAAGCCGATGACCCATTGACATAATTTGCTGGTAAATTGTCTTGTTAACATTTAATATGAATAAAAATTCTATAGCAGAATTTTTTTTCAATGATCACTCTTATACCCTACACTGGCAATTTCCCATTACTTCCTATAGTAATTATTGATTTCCATCGCCAACTTTTGAAACGATCCCCATTAAAAATCTACATCGATGACCATATGATTTTTTTTATTGATTTTAAATCACCTAAAGTCACTTTACCTCATATAAAAATTTGAATAAAAAATCTATATTGCAGAAATGAATTAGGTCCGTCGTCGTTAAATCCAAAATCACACCCTATATCCAATTTTTTCCCCTCTAAGATAGGATGTTGCATTTCTTTTGCGTTTCAGTATATATGTTAGATATTACTTAAGTTAAATACAAATCTGTATTTATTGAAGAAAAAGATTAATAGACTATAAAGTATGAAGTCAATATAGAATAGAATTTAAAGAAGCATACAATTACAATAACGTATTGAGCACACTTGTTTTAGGCAAATAATCGATTTTAATTTTTTGATATGTGTTTGTGCCTCGACTGCAAAGTAGTGTAGAAACTGTACATTCTTTCTTTCAGAAAATGACCAAATAACGTAATTGTCCAGAATAACATGTCATGAAATGAAAATGTTTACAGTTTAGGGGAAAGGGCATCAACTTCAATCATGATGTTACTCCTTCAAGTATATTTGTGCATGCTTTAATTCGCTTGGATTGTCATTTACACGTCTATTAGAAAATTACTGATTTAATGGAATTGAGTTATCTAGATTAAAGCCGGAAAACAGGCTAAAACAAGGACCTCTGAAACACCATATGTGAGATTAGATGACTAGGAGAAATAAACATGTCCAGATTCACCGGTCACACCAGCCGTGAGCTCTTTTTATTGATCTGGCAATTGGAGTAATCAATGGTATAAAACAATTGCATAACAATTGGTGGGAATCATATTCAGCCAAAATACGACCCAAAGATTGGTTGTACTTGCAAACAAGGTATATGTAATGAATTATAATGATCTTAAAATTTGAAATAAAGTTGCCTTCAAATGAAATAGCTCACAATCCTGCGACATCAACTTTTTTGTCAGTAACTTGCCTGTGTTTTAAAGTTGATAGTATTCAGAAGTTGCTCTTGAGTATCGAATCAGTTGGGGAGGTGGGCAAAAACACCAGTTGCAAGGGTTACAGAATATCATTAATAAAAAGGGAAAGTTGATGTTGGAAAAACTGAAGTCATCCCGTTTGTCATATAATTTAGTAGTAATTTGCCCTAAACGTCCATAGGCAGTAAAATATCCAAGGCATCCATTTATAAAGCAGATGTGGCAGAGTCTTTAGGTGTGCTTTATTTCGTTTTCATTGGGATAAATCGAGTTGACATATGAATGACAATAACTATTGTTAACTGATAAAACGTCGTCAACATATCGAAATGTTGGGTTGAAATCCACAGCATGAGTTTTCTTCTTTTCAAGGAGGTAATATTTCATGTATTGAAACGTATTTAATATGACATTAGCTTATAAGATATAATTATAATTACCCTTTTTACAAGCAACATTATTCTTTTCTGGTACTTTTTATATATAAAACTGATAAGTAATGCAATTTGTTTCAGATTTGAAGATATGGAAGCCTCTAAATTTCTGCTCATTGCATTGGTGACAACAATATGTGCAGCTGTCTTTCAATTAATTGGTTTGGCGTCACCTTATTGGATATTTATAGATGCCACATTATTAAAGATAAATTCAGGTCTATGGAAGACGTGCACTGAACTAGTTTTGACTGGAGATAATGAATGCACTGATGTGGAACTTACAGATGACGGTACAAATATATTTTCTTCAAAGTCTAATTTTGATCTGATTTCCTTCAGATTAATCATTTAAAAAGGCGAAAGTGAAGATAAAATCATTCCTGCCAAGTTGAATTACATTTTAAACAAGTTAAAAAGTATACAAAACAAAAAATCAAAAGAATAAAAAAATTGCATAAGCCAAAAAGAGTACTAAAAAATCAGTTGATATTGGAAAGTGTTAAGTCTGTTGTATTTTTCACATGACATTCCTGTTATGACATTTCCTTATTACAGACTGGCTCAAGGCTGTCCGAGCGATGAGCGTCCTTGGTTTTCTGGTATTGGTGGTAGCAGCAGTCATGGCAATATTAAAGCTGTTTGTTCTGAAAGACAAGCAAATAATTCTATTTGTGGCGATAGGCACAGCTTTCGCTGGAGGTAAGTGACATTTGATGTAGATGCTATCTTTAAGATTGTATTTTCTTTAAAAAAAATTGATAATTTTATATATAGTTTTTTTCGACAATATTTTCAATTTGCTGGATAGTCTACTTACAAGTTATAGAAAAAGAAACTTAAGTCATTTATATTACAGATAAATTTGACTTTCTTGCCATTTCCCAATAAACATTTTTTCATATTTTCTCGGTTGCCTGCAATTTAATAATGCTTTATTTCTGTAGCGGTGTTTATCCTCATATCAGTAGCAGTGTATGCGGCCAAAACAAACGATTTGTACGAAAACTCTGACTTTAACTACCACTTCGCTTTTGCCTTCAGCATCATAGGAATGATAGCAGCGATCGGGGCAGGAGTTGTCATGTTGGTAGAAATCATGAAAGGATAACTAAACATCACTTCAGAATGCCTATAAAACAATTGTTCAGAAATAATAGCATCCCAGTTTTATCGATTGAAAAGGCATATATTAGTCTATTTCTTGATGCTGATTTATTTCGTTTTGTGAATGTACTCCACAACATAATTCAAAGACTTAACTAATGATTATTTTTAATGTAGTTTCAAACTAGTTATTTAAATTTTTTAAATAAAAGTTTACTAGTATGCTTCATCAAGTCCATTTTCTATAACATACCGGTATATTAGCAGCAGCATGAGAAAATAGATTTTAAAATGTGTTTTCATCTGCTTGCACCAGACATTCTTAATAAGCGAGCATAAACAAGCATCATATTTGCAAGATAAGGATTAATAAAATCAGCATTACTTCTGCACCTTAATATTTCTGGTTCTGTGTCGTTCATCAACTAGCTTACAGATCTATTGTTCTATTGTTTCTATGTAACTATGCTTCAAGTAAACAATTCACAAAATATGTAATATATTGAAAGACTAATGACTAAAATGTTTACAATCTTCTATCTAATAAAGGTTAAATTCTTTTTTTGCTTCGCTTATTTGTTTTTTTTTTTCCTTATATATGAAACAAAAGAAAAATACAATCGATATACATTAACGTAGTTTTGAAAAGGGGCCTTTAAAAGACATTTTCTTTATTTTTTAAAATGGTTAAAGATAATAACAAGGTGCTTCTAAGGTCAAGTGCTTAAGTCAATTAACACGAATGTGGACAAACGAGATGTGTTTATTTGACTTCATTCGATAACTTTGAATGCATTGAAGAAGGATTTGAAGGAAAAGCAGTGGGACATCACAGCTCCGAAAACAGTAATAATTTATGTATCATCTTGCACATATCATGTGAATGCAGAGGAACATTTACTCCTTGTATAAGCCACTAATTAGAGACAATCTTTTTCAGATATAATCTAGCATCAGAGATTGTCTTTGTATCCATGGATTCTATATATATATATATATATATATATATATATATATATATATATATATATATATATATATATATATATATATATATATATATATATATATATATATATTCCTTAGTCGGTTATTCGACTGCATTATTCGAACGATAGTCGAATATTCTGAACATTTTCTGAAAATAAAATTTTATTTCAAACTTCACCAGTCTGATACATGACCTATTTATAACTCAAAAACCTTTTTACTTTAATCTATTTAAAAAGTAACATCAAAATTAATGTAACGCTACACGTGGATAGCATGATTATATGAAATAAATTTAGAAACCTAATTATCCAAAATGTATGATTTCAACGTCAAACGAATTCATAAATCGGTCTGTACATACAGTCACTTTTTATTTTGGTAAGCATTAAAAAATGACCTGCCGATATTTTTTTTTAAAGCTTATTATGAAATAAATTGGGGAGGGAGGGGGGGGGGGGTTATCTCGCACTATCCATACATCAGGTGCCTGTGAAATTGTTAAAAAGTTACATGTAGATACTGCTTATTCAATTATTGATTGCTCCGGCTAAAAATGTCCTGAAGCAGTGTGAAATATAAGCAAATTGTTTTAATAATTATCGAAGTGTCAAAACATGGCACATCTATGGTTTGTTCCTTGCATTTGACCAATCTTAAAATAACAAAAGATAATTAGTTTATGGTATAAGATCAAATCCAATTATTAATTTTACAAACAAAGCCTAGTATATTGGTAGATAATTTATTACATGAACAACACAGACAGTTACTGACAAATAATGTTCGCCGTAGCAAAGCACTTACAATAACTGTACTTCCTATACACGTGTATGTGGAAAGTCCCCAGTTTTTTTGTTTAGGATAATTATCTTATCGACTGTCTCTGAAAAAGACGGTTTCTCAGTTTTGTATAACTTCTATTTCATTTATTTAATTATAATAATATTCGAATGTCGTTTCATTATTTCGATCGTCGGTCCATTCGACTGATAGTCGAATAGTATAGTCGACTATTCTTTGACATCCCTAATATATTATATATACTTTCGAATAGCTCATATCTTTTAGAGAATATATGAGGATAATACATCCTATTGGAGATGCTTTTTAAGCAAGAAATAAGAACATATATGTATCTTTCTTTTATTTGAATTTCTTGATTCAATACTTTAAACTCTCTGCAAATACTAGTAGTTTCCTCTCTAATATGCAATGAATGAGCAATACGGAATGAATAAAGTTGTCAATTTTGGCACAGCAATAGAGTTAAAAAAGCCTGCAGAATGGCATATTTATTTTTTGAGATGTTCATCTGTCGACACAGATCTTGTAAGATGAACAAGGACAAACACACAGTCCGCGTGTTTGTTTAAACACCCTGTATATTCAACATTTGAAATTGATGAAATTGGACTTGTTCAAAAAATGACTTTATAAAAAATTTAAGATTCCATTGTGCCTAAAACATGGTAAAATTGGTTTTTGTTTTGTTTACATTTATTTAGTATGTCCACGGGTATTCCACTTTTTTTCCTTCTTCAAAAAAATCCATTTCCTGTTAAAAGCGTTTGTAAAGAGTAAAATTAATTAATCCATAGCATGATAATTCCGTTACTACAAGGTACTTTTGAAAAATGTTTACTAATATATATTTGAATGTGATCCTTCAGATTTGATTACAATTTGAACAAGTTTGAGAGTGAGATTCTCTGATAGATCGAAAAATATGTTCTTTTTGTATGAATAATTAAAACAAAGTATTTCAGTAAATTAGCCATCATGCTAATTTTAATTATGATTAAAAATAAAAATTACTTCTATTAATCATGATTTATCTAAGGTAGTTTGTCTGTTTTCATTCCATTTGGTAAACATACAACAAATTGTATAAACGTGGACTTTTTTCTGAATGAAAAAGGTTAAGATAACGAACAGTGATAATCTCAAAAAACCTACATACGATACAAATCTGTGAACAGGGCATAAAGACGCACCCCAGGAAATTCCAGAGGTAGGATTCTGTCCCTAAGAGGAGTAAGCATTCCCTGTCGACTGGACACACCCAAATTAAGATTTGACCGAGTTTTAATTTTTCATACAAAATACTATTTACTAATAATAACATCTATTTGTGTATACAAAATAGATGCCTTTATTTTACGAGAAAAGTATATTTGCAGGGACCTTTATACTAGTATATAGGTCCCTTGTACGTTGTCTTTTAAGAGTCGGGCTTGGATGACACAGCAAGTGTTGTCTATATAAAGGGTCGGGTTTGTTCTTCACATTCCTTTCTGCTGAACCTTTCAAAGGTAAAGACGCATAACAATTAAATGCTCACAAAAAATACATCTAATTTCTGCTTTGTAATTTTAAAAAATCGTATAATTTTCCATTTATATATTGTTTTTCAACCATTTTAAAGCTTTTATTACTGTTGATGTTTATTAAATAAGGCGGATGATGTTGGATTCAAAATTTTTACGAAGCAGACGACGCACACGCGGTTATGCCAAAAAATAAATAATTTACCTTTGTATTGTTATTAAATGATCAAATATTGGTTATCACCATTAATTATTGTCTTTTTGTTTCATACTGCGTCGAAATCGGAAAATGCAAACCCAGAAAGCGGAACAACAATATGGAAACTCGGTCGGACCTTTTTTGTGGACACTGTGAGGATGGGCCCAAATATAAGTCAAAGAAAAGAATAGCAAATAATCTGTGAACAAGTTGGAAAACCAGACATTGAATATATGTATCATCACAATCCAATATATCAGGTACATCCACCGCCTTTGAAATACATAAATAAGTTGAATGTGTAGACTTGATTAATCTTTGCCATTGTAGAATGAGACCAAAATATAAGCAATAGTCTGCTTATACAGTGTATAGATATTGCTTTTAAAAAATTCTTGCTTAAAGTGTTACCTTTCAAGCTTAGAGCGTAGAAAAAGTATTAAGTTAAGTTTCAAACAAAAGTATCAAAAAGTCTAGCTGAAAACAAAATATATTTAAATATAACTACCAGTAAATCCTACAAAAATATGTCATTATAAAATAATCTTTCAAAAATACATTCAAATCATACTATAATTTTATCATAGAATTCTCTCAAAATAAGGACAAAAGACTTGCATTTGCCTGGAATTGTTCAAAACTAAGGTCAAAATAATTCAATAGATTGCATAGATGCTATTGTTAGTCGCAAATTGTACAGCAGCCTCAACTTTGCCATATGTCCGGTTATATTAGTAGAATGTTCTGGACCTATTTTAAATTTATATTAGGTTTCTATAAAATTTGTGAGAGGATTAAATTTAGTTTTTGTATAAATTCAGGTAATATGTAATATAACAGATACAATGTTCTGTGTAATTGTAAAACTAGAACTTGATGAATCTTTCAAATCCAACTATTAGGCACTACTTGCAACAGGGTTCAGACTAAACAATGATTTGTTTGGAGAAACAATTAATTTACGAAAGCATCAGAACCAAAGTAAGCCCTAAAATTCTTGTTTCATGAAAGAATTTGTAATTAAAGTTAGAGCACTAGATTATTAAAAAAAAAAATCTATAAGCAAACCTTCTTGTCATATCTCTAGTACGTGATGAATTTAAATAAAAGGGAGAATGAAACCACCTATCTTGCCCAGACAAGAGTATTGTTATATTTATTTAAATGCTCTAGAGCTTTCCTGGAGTTCAGTGCCTTGTATTCATGAAATTTTAGACTAATGTTGTGAAAAGGAGACTCTGATATATAGGTAAGTCATAAGATCAGTTGCACATCATAAGTTATTACAGATTTACACTGGAGTTTAGCTTCCAACTCAATATATATGACTTGAAACAAGGGGATCTTAATTGTGTGGGGTCTGGGAGCAGTAAACCTCTAGAAAGGGCCTTTCTCAAGTTTCGTATCTTTAGGTGCTCTCGTTGAGGATTCTATTTGCTAGCTATTAAAATTGGAAATGAAATAATCTTAAAATACTAAAAGGGGGGATTCATCATTGTTTAACCACATAATTTATTTGATTAAGTTTGAATGAAAAGGAAAATGCAAAATATTTTTATATAAACATCCATTTTCTATTACTGGAATTAGGATATCTTTGTTATGATCCTGTAGAGTGCAATTTATGAAAGGTTGGAAATTGCAACATCTTGTACAAGAATATTTTGTGATCACTTATTAATGAATACATGTATATCTTAATGACCAATTATTAAATCAAAAAAGTAAATACAGTCAAACCTCATTGTCTTGAACTTATGGGACAAGATATAACTTGCAATTGAGATGTCGGATATTTGAGATGTCAAGGGTAGAATGCTTGAGGAGTAGGTGTCAATCTGAAGTAACCATTTTATTTAAGATATCAGTGTTCCAAATACCAAAGTTAAAATTACAATTACTTCTGTAAAGCAATTAAAACTTATAGAACATTCATCAGATTGTATGTTGCAAAATGAATATATCGTCTTATTTAAAATATATATTTAGTTGTCTTTAGACATCAGAAGTGACCCAAAGAAAGACTTTGTCAAGTACATGTACTTTGAATTTTTAATAATGTAGCAATTATTTCTCTGAAGAGTCCTAGAAGGATGCTTATATTTTGTAATTTTATACAGATAATGCTGATTGTTTGACTTCTGGCATTGGGCTTACATTTTAAGGTATTTGGATCTTGAAACTCATAGCATGGTGCTTATATTTTGTAATTTTGTACATGTAGATAATGCTGATTCTAAGACTTCAGGATGTGCATTTGGTTTACATTTTTAATGAGTTTGGTTTTGTTTTTAATCAGAACACCAGAAAAATATAATTTCCTTTTTGGATCAAGTCCATATTGATAGCAGTACAAGTTATATTCAGGCTCATTGCATATGAAAATTTATCTCCAATGGGTGTCATTAATAATCAAACATCTATTCTTGAAAGAATTTTATACTTTGCTATGCATTTTGTACTACACTGGAACAATATGGTCATGCAGTGCTGTATAGAGTTCAGATGCACATACATGTGTCACAGGCATTAATAATGTTTATTGAAAGACTCTTTATCAGAGGTAAAGGAATTAGCACATAAATAAGATTAGTTGGTATGCTAGTATTGCAAGCATCTGTAATAAAATTGCAGCCTAAGCACAGGTTCAAATTGGCACCGTCAAAGTGCCAGATATCTTCATTGCAGCTAAACTGGTTGTTGGTAAGTATAAATTTGAATAAACTTGTTACATGTATCAGGTAATGTATCTTTTTCTAGGAATATCATTAAGACCAGTATATGTTTTCAAAATATCAATATTATTATAATTGACAGTTCTACAACCATTGGTAACCATCACTAAATAGTGTGATATATTCTTATAATTGTGTAATCCACATTTGGGTGGGGAATCTCCTAAGAAACTACATATTTGGGTATCAATAGGAGTATAGTAAGATTCAACCTTGTATTACAACCATGTATATAAAACTTGCCTAGGCTAATGGACAATTCAAAACAAAATTAACAAGCACTGGTATACTTTATGTAAATGCATTGCAAGGTGGCATATACATTTGTGAAGCAGGTTAGTAGGGAAGTTTTTTTCTACAAGACCAAACCTTTATTAGGCATTGAGGGAATAGGTGAGATATATCACATTATATATATGATATCATATCACAATATCAAGTCTCGTTTAAAGTCATCATTTTGTAAGTTCTATGGTCGATACAATGACCTTTTCAGCAAATAAAATCTACATACTGTTCTACAAATCTACAAATCTATCACTAAGTCAAATGCTGACTGATGTTTTTCATACTTCCTGGCCGGCATGGTAGTTGTTAGACCGTTATTTACACACTGAATTATCGACGGAATTTTCCGTTATTTCCCGGTTATGACAAGAAGCAAACGGCGGGTGTGACCGGTCGGCAGAGGATGCTCACTCCTCCATGGCACCTGATCCCACCTCTATGTCTTAGAGATCTGTGCACACGTTTGCTCTGCTCCACCTATTTCATTGGCAAGTTTTGATTACTTAATGTGTTATAGCACTTCTCTTAAAGGTGCTTGGACACAGATTTGAAGTTAATATTTTCTCAAATTTTCTGTATAATTTCATGACTTATATGTTGCTATAGCATTTCATACTAAAATATAATAAAAATCTTATTTTATCTTGAAGTTATTGAAACTTCAAATTTCTGGACGCGTTTGATTGACACATCCTTGCACTTTCACAAATTTTAATTTTATTCTTAATACTTAAGAAAAGTGGCGATTTTGTTGTGTATTAATGAAAAGTATTAAAACTATAATCCAGAAAATTCACAGTAGAAATGTTCGAAAGCAAAACCCACTCACAGTATTTTCAGTCCGTGCTCAGTGGTGTGTGCAGAGTTTAACAATTGAACACACCCGGTGAATCGTAAACATTAACAATAACAGAGCTCGTGCCCTGTTTACTAAGACAGTTTACGTTTCACGGGTGTATTCAATTTGTTAAACTCTGTACACAACACTGAGCACGGGCTGACGCTATTAGTGAGGGGGTTTGCTTTCGCAAATTTCTACTCTGAATGTTCTGGATTATAGATGTAATGTTTTTCATTAATACACAACAAAATCGCTTCTTTTCTTAAATATTAAGGATAAAGATAAAATTTGTGAAAGTGCAAGAATGTGTTAATCAAACGCGTCCAGGAATTCGTAGTTTCAATAATTTCCAGATGAAAAAGGTTTTTATTTATATTTTCGTGTGAAATGCTATTGCAATATATAAGTCGTGATATTACACAGAAATTTTGAGAAAATATTAACTTCAAATCTGTGTCTAAGCACCTTTAATAGAGGGAAATTCAAAATTTATTCCAAGTCTGCTGAAGGATTAACAAATCCATACATCAAGATGTGTGTAAGTACCCAGCGGGTAGGGGGGGTCTTGGGCAGTATTGGTCGTGGAACAGTTGACTTGTTTTGCTTCCCCCAATGTGTGGGGTGACTGCAATCTGTGCCAGCTTGCAGCCATGTGGCGTCTGCGCACACCAAGTCAACTGATAACTGAATATTTGTGTGAAACTTATACTGAACTGTCACCTTGTTGATATGCTAATGCTAGTGTAAACTAAACTAATAAGCTTACTCTTGGTGACAGTGATATATACTTTAGAGCTGTAATATATAGTACAAGTTTGAAATATGAAAAAGTTTGATATTTGAAGTTTGAGATTTTTGATCTATGAAGTTTGAGATATTTGATACATTATGTACAAGATTTGATATATGAAGTTGATATGCTTGATATTTGAAATTTGAGATATAACTTGGATTTTGAACAGTTTGTATGTTGATTTTGAACAGTTTGTTTGTATGCTGACACTCCGCGGTGAACCCGGGATGGTTAGACTTTGAAACACACATGAAGTTTGAATTTGGTGGGACTGCCCAGTTGAAATGGCATCCCACAATGTTTGTATTTTCTTGTGCCTCGGCCAATACTCGCCAAAATAAATAAGTATAAATTCTATACTGAGTTTTGTGTCATTTTCTCTGTATAAATAAATTGCGTACATTTGACAAACTTAAGGATTGGTGAAATAAACATGTTACATGTACATCTTAAGTACAGATAACAGGATATGATATATTTTAGACAAGTGATTTAGATCGTATCATAACTGCCGTAGAAAAATTGGGTGTACATCAAATACAGTAAGTAATACGAATTATTCCTGTTTTCCGCAATTTATTCAGCCTTAACATGTTTATAAAA